CGACAGTCAAAAAAAAAAATGGCAATGCATAAAGAATCCTTTCTACTGTAATAATAATTATACACAATAGTTCAAGCTCTAAACTAAGATTTTGCAAAAAATTGCCTATACTTAACTCCTTAAAAATGGGTGGTGTAGCGTCCTCTTAACAACAGTAAAAAAGTAGCGTTTTCCTGCGACTTTGTGAACTCTCTCAACTCGGTTAATGTACCTATGCAGCATTATATTATATAATTAATAGGCTGTAATTAAACACACAGTATAAATTTGTACGCATACATTTATATTATATAATTATAGTAAAAGTATATTGTTTACCAGTCACAGTAGACACTACGTTCTTAATAGGTTTTTTACATTTTTTTATCCTACGGTTTTAGAAACAACTTTTGAAGACAATGTCGGAATTATTGACCCCGGTATCGATGGCCGTGGAGAAACTTCGACTAGGAGAAAAAAATCGGAGGTTTCCGCCAAACGCCGCCGTCACAAGTCCGTTAAAAGGACTGAGGTAATTGAATCTAATTCCAAACCTATGACTTAAAGGTAAATCAATTTATTATTAACTAATTTTGTACATTTCTAGCGTACTGCAGAGTCCAAAGCTGTTGGTCAGACTATTCATCTGGCGAGACGGATGAGAGTGGAAAAAGAAAAACATAGTATACAAACCGTCATGGACAAAATAAAACGGAAGCACAAACCTAAGCCACCCCCATCGTACCAGAGAGTGTTGGAAATCGCCGCAATGTATCAACAGCAGAGGGATGCACGGTCGCACATAAATTATTACCGTAAGACACCGCGTTTCTAAGAAATGTATTTATTTGAGTTCTAACCTATTTTTGTTGTAACACAGCCTACATATAATATGAACTTCATATCACAAAGCTTTTACTTTGATCGAGACTTTATCCTCAGCACATAACACCTGCACAAATCTGACGACAACAGATTTCTAATTTGATATTGATCATCACTTTGTTTTGCTTACTTTTTTTTTTTATTACTATTTTGCTTATTTTATTATGTAAATGTTGTATTTATTTTGTTTTTATAAACTTGTTATATTTATCATGTTCTGTAAATGTTGTGTAATTTATCTTGTTTATACTGTTTCGATAACCTTGTTATATTTAACTTGTTTATATTGTTTTTTAATAATATTTTTTTTTTATAATTTTATGATTTGATCAAAATATATGTAAGACATGTAATAATTGCCTTATTTAAAACTAGTAATTAAGTATCACTTGACCAATTGCTATTGGGAATGGTGTAATCGCGAGGTAAGGGCTAAGCTCCATAAGCAATCTGAAGCCTTCCCTCCTAGATTATGAATTTAACTACACCACATATTAAAAAAAAAATAACTATTACTATAGATACTACTTTCTCATGCCATAGTTTTATCATTTTTGTTCTATTCTCATTTTAAACAAATCTTGACCCCTACATTTGATCTTGCTTTAATTTTAATACGGTATCTACATGTTAATTGCTATTTAGTTAAAACTTGCTCTGCTGAAAAATGACGAATTTTTTCTGCTAAATCTAGAGTTGTATTTATGAAAATTATTTCTTGATTTATTATGAATTAAATTGAACCATTTAAAAAAAAAGTATTACAGTAATTAATTATGTTGTTTTTTGATACAAAATTAAAAGTCGGCCGGTGACGGCATAATATTTTTTACTACTAATATACTACTTTCTATATTTAAAAAAAATAGACAGGTGCATTTTCACCAGGTAACAGCCGGGGAACGATACGACGGTCAATTTTGATGTTTTCATTCTGGTCATCATGTTCCTCAATTGATTGACCACCGAATAGGCACGCGCAGGTGATAAGTCTTGGTACAACTCGTTGTCATCATCGTACAACTCAATCGAATCATTCCTTATCGATGCTCTGGAACCCCATATCAAAATTAGTACCGAAATTAACCATTCAAACATCTAATCGTCAGAACGGGAGAAATATCTTGGTATGAGAGAAATTTATTTTAGAAAATGACACGTGCCAAACGACGAAAAACATTTGGTCAAAACAAATCTTAAAATTTAATGCAAAGTACTACAATAGACTTACTGCCCAATTGCAAGTGTAATCACATGCTTGGTGTACAAAGCGGTGTAGTTTATACAAATTTATCAATTTTACGGAAATCCAAACATTTCCAACGAAAAATTTACCTCAAGTTCACTTTTCCCAACAAACATTTTTTCCATAGGAAATGTGGTCTTTGGAAAATATAAAAATTGGGACAATTGGTAGCAACCCTATCTTATATTTCATTACAAAAAATCGTTATGTTGAGAAACCACGTCATGAACATATCTACCAATCTATACAGAACCTAAGAAAATCCTGCGAGGAGCAACAATTAATAACAAAAGTAGTCATGCCGCAAATCGGATGTGGTCTTGACAAACTTGACCGGACAATAGTTCGTTGGATGTTGTGCCACATTATCAGGTCCTCTACAGTTTCTATACACGTATATTAATGTGGTAATTTTATTACGGTACCCCTTAAAATCATTCTTATGTTCCTAAAAATAAGTTATGCTAAATTTGAGACTATTCCGTAAATTTTAACCCATGCCCCCGGGCCCTTTTTATAATACTTTTACAGTGAATATAAAACTGGAGCAACTCTTAAATTTTTCATTGTTGGATATAGTCCATAATTTCTTCCTAAGAATACATAATTCCTAAGAGTTAGGAGACACTGGCCTATGGTACTTTGAATAACTTGAGGTGCAATGTGACCATAATGACGAAATTATATTTCTCTGGTACATACAATTTTTAATTTATTTCACTACTGCGACCGACCATGTGATACACAAAAAACAAGACTTATCAGTTATAATATGAAATTTAAATTGTCTATTGTTTCATAAAGTTATTATGGATAATACTGTGCAGTGTTTAATAGCTTATAATAAATGTGAATGCCATCAATCCCCGGAGCCGATCCATCTTTCATTGTTAATAATTTCTTTTCAATGTCATTAGGACTAATATGATTTATATAAAAGGCATCTTCAGTACTTACCCAATTGAGGCTTACTCTGTGGCCTCGTGTATAGAGTTTGGTATGGGGCGCTACAGCTAAACAGCAATTTGTTTATTAAAATTGTAAATGAAAAATTAGTAAGTTATTCTTATTATTTAAGAACGTTTCATCTAAAATGAGGTTTTTATCAATTTTTTAGTTTTTTTTATTTGTACACACTGTAAAATACAGCAAATATCACGAGGGACAATTTATAATAACCATTGTGTGATGAGTTTCCGGGCAATATAATATAGTATAGGATTATTGATTTTTATAGCATTGACATCGTTAATAAATACTCGATTAGCACGCACCAATGTTTTTCCAATGTTGATGTAATAAAACCACTTTTTATTAAAATATTTATTACGATAAAACTATAAACCTTTTTGCAGAGTTGATAACAACGTAGTTTATTATTAGTTCTGCATCTTGTGGATGTTCGTTTTCTACTTTATGAAAAATAAAAACTCGTCTTAGGGTTTCAATTCAAAGCAGGATAGACTTAGATATTTGTCAATATTATATAGGGTGATCAAAATGATGTAAGACACTCATTTTCACAGAAAATATAACTATTTTGAGCAATTTTTTTTCTATACTTTAAGGTACATATTTTTTACACTCTTTAATATTTAGAATATTTTTATCTTCAACCCTTATACAGGGTGATTCATTTTGGTAAGACACTAATTTTCTCGGAAAATATGAACATAAAAAAAAAAATTCCTATACTTCTAGGTACACATTGTACTACATTTTTCAATACTGCACATTTTTTTATCTCCAACCCATATACAAAAAAAGGGTAGGATATCACTTTTTCAAATGGCAACATATGTTTTAAATTCCATAAATATGTAGACAACAATTTTCAAAAAAATGTTATTGTTCAAATTTTAAATTTTTATCTATTTATTCGCTTGTTGTGACTTTGTAAAGATCTGAGCTTATGTCTATATTTCTTAATATTTTTATTCGGTTCAACAAAGACAAGTGGTTTTATTACACCAGTCATCACATAAAATAATAATTTAGTAGATAAGATCCGATGGTCAACCATTATCTCAAAACATTTTATTGTGTTTAATTATCGGTCTACTCGCCTATCGGACAATGTGAGCATAAATAAGATTTTTATGGGCTACCGGTCTTTGGGACACCGAAGAAATATGACAAGATTTAGGAGAAAACGTAATATCTTTACAAGGTCACGAACATATGGATGAAAATTAAAAATACAAACGATAACATATTTTTAAATTTTTTGCCTACATATTTATGGAATTAAAAACATATGTTGTCATTTGAAAAAGTGAACTTGGACCCTTCTTATCGTATAAGGGATAGAGATAAAAATTTTCGAAGTATTGAAAAATATAGTACAAAGTGTATCTAAAAAAATAGAAAAAAAAATAATATTCAAAATAATTATACTTTTGGAGAAAACTAGTGTCTTACTCAAAATGAATCACCTTGTATGTAAAACAAGAATCACATTTGGTACTTTTAAATGGAACGTAAGTTTTTAATTTCATAAATCTGTACAAAATGTTTAAAAAAAAAAAATAATTAGCGTTTGAATTTGTAATCAACTATCTGTTTGTTTGCCATGACTTTATAAAGATTTGAATTTGAAATCAATATTTGTTGGGTTCTTTAAAACAGTAGCACTTCTAATAATATTGATCCCTAACAATAATATTGTCACCGATAATCAGACCAAAGCATTGTCTACTGATAAGATATGTAAACAATTGACTAGACGTGTATAAGCTGTTAAGGTTTTCGACCATAAGTAGGTAAAGCGCTTCTCCATGTAATATAAAAAAAAAAGATAAGGAGTGTTATTAATGTCTGGTTGTCGGTTTTACGACGGCGTTGATAATATTATTCAATATGAAGTAACATGCTTCATGTGTTGAAACCCGAAAAAATATTGACCAAACTTTCCAATATGTACATCTTAGTAAGTAACGAACCGATTGATGAAAATTAAAAATTCACACGACAATGGTAAAATTAAATTTTATACTACACAAATATCGAGTTAGAAATAGTTGGTCCCATTTAGAAAAATAAAGTCACACATCATTTAACGTATAAAGCATTTATACGATAATATTCTATCAATAATAAGTAATAACCATAAAGAATAGGGAAAAATTAATTTCAAAATATTAATATTTTCCGAGAAAATGAATGTTTTGCGCCATTTGGATCATACAGTTTTGTATAAATTGGATACATTTTCAGTGTCTTTAAGTAAACACTAAAATGAATAAACCTAAGTTCAGTTGATAAATAAGCCAGAAATGTAATTGAAAAAAAAATATTGAATCGTTCATAACTTTACTATTGTTATGGTGTATTATAATATGATTGTTAATAATTTATCATTTTAGGCACATAAGAGGGAATCTGTTATTGAAAACGCTACCTTTGTGCTTTTTTTATAACGCCTATAGTAAATAGTTTGGTGTGTCAAAAAATAATAGAATTAAACTAACAAAGCTATCTCAAGTACCTACTACTCTAATTTTATTTAATTTTGGGTTTATAGGATCAAACTACAATAAAAATACGACTGGTGTGATGTATTGGAATTACCTACCTTTTTTTTCGATAATACTACTTATATTGATAGTGTCCTCAGTTTATTGAATTGAAACATTTGATCAAATCGTTAATTTAGTACAATACATTTCCTTCGGATAATGATTTTAGTCTCTGGTACTCTTCAGTTCTTAGTATGGACTTTGTTGCTTTTACAATCAACAAAGGCAGGACTACGAATTTTAGCTGTAGAGCCATACCGGGGGAAAAGTCACTGGAACTTTATGAACGGATTTTTACGCTCACTTACCGACGTCGGTCATAAAGTGACGGTTTTCACTATGTTCACCGAAGAAACCCGAGAAAACTACACGGAAATCTTGTTGGAGGGAACACCTCGATTAAACATGCATGTGAGCAAGTTTATGGAATTGAGATCTCTAGCCGCTTTCATCAAATTTACCGTGACTACGAACAGAGAAAATTGCGATTACATATTTGCACATTCGAAAATGAAGACTATCTTAGCAGACACGTCCGGTGAATTCGATGTTATTGTCGTCGAATCGATAGCTTCGGAGTGTTTGTCATACTTGGCTCACCGCCTACATTTACCTCTAATCTACCTTTTTCCAATGGTTATGCCGTGTTACTTGGAATCATCGTTTCTGGGTGAAGAATCCAATCCTGCATACGTGTCAAATTTTATGGCGTCCTTCGTCTACCCAAAGTCATTCCCCGAACGCTTTAGCAACTTTCTGACCTACAAGTACGGCAAGTTTTTATTGTGGTACACGGAAACGTTGTCGGCCAAGGCCAATCCTAGAATGTATGACTCTGTCGAACCGGTTAAACCCTCTGTGGTGTTTGTCAACAGTCATTTAGTCATCGAACCGGCCAAACCAACGTTACCGACTGTCATAAATATTGGCGGTATTCATCTACGCGAACCCAGAGCAATACCAAATGTGAGTATTAGACATTCAGCTGATAAGTATTGAACAGTATAACATATTATCATACAACTTAGTTTTTAAAACAACATAGGGTTATAGTGAAAATAAACTCCTAAATAATAATAATATTTGAACAAAGCCACATAGGCGCAACTTGGGAGGTATTTTAGTTATAAAATGCTTAAAATACTTGCTAAAAAAGAGTCATTTCTTTATTTTTATATGTATCCAATGGGGAGTTTTACAATAAACCATTATAAGGACTACCCTTATATACAAGGTGATTATTTTATCGCAAACCAATCTATATTTCATAGGGTTTAATTAATAACTTTCTTTTTTATAGAGTTTATATAACTGTACCAAGCATTACTTCATCCTTTTATCGCCTATGCATTATTTTCCTATTAAGAATAAAAACTTATTGCGCAAAAAATTTAAAGAAAGTTTAAAAAATTAACTGAGAAAATTGTTTTGGTCTAATTTATATAGGAACAAAAGATACTAGTTATTTAATTTATTTTGTGACTATTTTACTAAATCAAATGACAATTTTAAAATTAGTTTACTTAAAATAACTTGAATGAAAATTAAAAATACATTTTTTTTCAATAGTTAACAATTTTCCATTTTTCGACTTTTCCCCCTTTACCCAAACACCACAAATTTATTAAGAATTCGAATATTACAGGACATACGGGAATTTATTGAAAACTCACCAAACGGAGTGGTTTACTTCTCGTTTGGATCAATAACGGCTATGTCATCATTACCGGAGCACGTTCAAAAATCATTTAAATTAGCTCTAGGGCGACTCCCGCAACGGATACTGTGGAAATTCGAAACCGAAATGGAAGATCAACCGGAAAACGTAATGACAAGAAAATGGTTCCCTCAGCGCGATATTCTTTGTAAGAACAGATAAAGTATAAAATACATTATGTAATATACTATATTATAGTCAAAGGCATAGCATGATGCACTGCTGGGGGACTCCCTCCACAGTCGGCCTGTGTTCAAACGTTCCCCAATTTCGTTTTATTTCATGAACGTACATTACATAGGCTATACAATAGTAAATACCGAAATATTATTATGTTATTTTATTTTTGGTTTCTATTCCCTCCCTGTACCTTGAAGAAATCTTGCACACAAGACACAACCTAGCTCTAGTCGCTTCGAAAAAAGTGTCTCTCCTATTCGACTACACATCCTTTATGCATAAAAACTAAGGACGCTTATGACTATTGACTAATAACCAATACAAAATGCAATGGGATGGGGTGGAAATGCAAGGGGAAAGTAATAGTTCCAAGACGAGGACAAAGAAATCGAAAAACTAATTATCCTAAAAGTTGGATTTCTGAAGATACCGCATGTCTCATGTTTTAAAGAACAGTATTTTTATGGTGTATTATCATTATTTTTAAGTCAAAAAGAAAGAATTAAAGAAAATCTTTTCAACTTTCTATTATGAACGTAGAAAATAGATGTAATTTCATATGTGGGGGCTATAACCCATTTCGTCCCATTCTACGTCATTCTCCATTCCCCAAAAATAATGTCTCGCCTCTTTGACCATTCGTTCTTTATACATAAAAATTTAGGACGGCATAAAATCAATTGTTTAGTATTTTAATTTTTTTTTGTATTTTAGAAATTAATTTGAAATTTGGAGAAGTATATTTGCTTTGTTGGTTTTTTAATCAGCTTACGGTTTAAAATAATTTCAAAGAGAGTGATGAAACCGTCTAGAAATAATAAAACAAACTCCCATAGGCGACCCAACTAGGTCTAGGTAGAAAAGCGAGGTTAAGAAAGCCAAACAAGTTGTAATAGTACAATACAAAACTTTCAAAAAGATTAAGGAAGCTTATGACTATTGGCTAATAACCATTACAAAGTGCAGCAATGGGAAAGTAATAATTTCAAGGTGAAAACGATGAAATCGAAAAACTTATTTTCCTAACAGTTTGATTTTTGGAGATGTCTTATGTTTAGAAGAACAGTATGGTTATGGTGTATTATCATTATTCAAAACCTTTTGAATTGTCTATTATGAACGTAGACAATTTATGTATTTGCATTTGGAGGGGGGGGGGGGGTTTAGCCCATTAGCCTCTCCCCCCGTTCTAGGTCATCCCCATTATATTGGACATATTATTTAGCGAGTTAATTGATTGTGTTTACAGTACATCCAAATGTCAAGCTGTACATCGGTCACGGAGGTATGTCTGGTGTGTACGAAGCTGTCGATGCCGGTGTGCCTATGTTAGGGTTTCCTATTGCCTCCGATCAACCTAGGAATATAGCTAGTCTCGTGGACGCTGGAATGGCCATTAAACTTGATTTGATGAGTGTCACCGAAACTCTGATTTTTGATTCTGCCAACAAATTAATCAACGATAAAAAGTAAATTGTGATTTATAAAAATACCATTAGGCGGCAATTAGAATATGAATTTGGTCGAATGACACTAAACCGGACTTTTGTTAAAGTTCACTCCTAAAAAATATTTTTTTATTTTCAACTTCTTTTTTGTTTTTGAGCTACCTTGCCAGTTTTATTTGTAATGAAAATATTAAAATTACCTTTCAGTTTTAGTTTTTGCTTAGTTTTTCAATGAATAATACAGCGATTTTTATTTGTAACACATAACTAACACGTTATAGTTAAATCAATGGAAATGTATTGGTATAGAACATATTTTTTACTTATTCGATTTGAATTTTTAGGTAATTACCTAATTTGTATTAAATATTTTTATTTGTTATTTAGGTATTTATCAAACGCTAAACTGGTTTCCAAACGTTTTAAAGATCGTCCAATGTCGCCTGCAAAAGCCGCCACTTATTGGACGGAATACGTTGTACGACACAACGGTGCGCAACATCTAAAAACAAAAGCTTTTAATCTTACATGGTACGAATATTATCTTCTAGATGTGTTCCTTGTGATACTCATCTCGTTTTTCACTATTGGGTATATTTTGTATACATTTTTAAATGTCTCATGCGAACGTATTTTATTTAAACTAAAGTTGAAAACAGATTAATTGTTGTATATTGCGCTATAAGTTTTTTTTTTTTAATAGTCGAATTAGTTCTAAATTTGTATGGAATATTCTTTAAATATGATGTATTATAATATTATCATGTTATATACGTTGAAGAACCCTAACCTTACAAACAGGACACCTTGTACCAATACAATTATTTTTAAAATTTATGCGTACTTAATGCTACCAATCATGATTCAAGAAATTAACTTTACAATACATAACTCACAAGTCACTCTGTGTATAACAAAATGGTATTGATTTACAGGTTTGCATATTTGTCTCGTTATAGCTAGATCGGTGACGTATGGATAATCTATTCTTTCCATCTAAGGTAGGATGACAGCTTCAAAATCCAAAAGGAAATATCCACATAAAATTTGTCGCTATTTTTTGGCTTGTTTGTATCAACGGCTTGTTTATAAGATGGCCGTCAAGTTCACAACTGTTTTATGTATAGGTAGCCAACAAAAGTAGTTTCCCAACGAGGATATTGTTTATATTTCACAATGACATTTTTTATTGTAATCGTACATAGTACATGGTTAAGTGAATGAATATAAATATATTTAACGACTGAGGCCAAACATTTTCGATCCTCCTCTGATTTTTATTTTATAAAACTAAAGTCAATACTAAACGCAAAACAAAAAACCTATTCAAACATACTGTACCAGACGGAGAAGTCTTCCCCATCCTAAATCGGTTGTTTGAACAGTTTCCAACTCAAACTTGTAGTAATAATAATAATAAAACAGCGTAAAAAACAATAACTTTGAAAATTACAATATTTTTTTTCTCCTTTATAAATGTTATAAAAAGTTTTTAATACCCAGACTGACCTTTAAACCAACAACAATTGATAATGATGACGTGACAAGTAGGTATGTTAGAAATTTAACAGCTCTGCACCATGACGTACTGATAGTCTCAACGCACTGTGTTCCAGATAAAAAATATGATAGTGTATAGTTATGTGCATTTAAAGTAGCAAAAATAGCTTCCTATTCAACAAATGAGTGATAAAACAGATTATTCTTATTGTAGGCCTATTTATTTGGTAGTAACTCTGGCCTAAATTATTTAATACGATTTTCCTATTGTTTAATTTAATAATTCACCATTTCCCATAAAATATATTTGTAAAAATGTTGGTTCTTCATAAGAGCTTTGGTAATAGCGAACCAAATCCATGACATAGCTGACCTTGAATTTTGAATGTGGGCATGAACCTTCCGTGTCTTGACGTGATTTGAAAGTCAGAATTATACTTTTGTATTTTATCGAGAAAATCCTCAGAATGATGACGAGTGCCACTGATTTGAAATTTCAGTGGTTCTATGTAGCGGCACAGCGGTTTCGTCCAATAGAATTCTGCCTCCAGCCCAGCAAAGGTCGGGTGTTTCAAGAGGCCATTTTATTGCCCGGTAATGCCAACAAATCTTACTCATATTGCCAATAGAAATATCAGCATCGTTTGCACAATGAAATGAAGCGTCGTACCTAAGTGTGGACATTTCGTTACAGCGCCAAGAATAGTGTAGTAAATTAACGATTTCTTGTTGTACAATATTATTTTCACCAAGAGCAATGTCTCTCTGAGAAGTCTCTCTGTTGCTGTATTGTAAAAAAAAGCTAATCTAATCGACCCAGTTATCTTAAGTTAGATAACTAATCTTAGTCAGAATACTACATAGTTCTAATATTTTAAAATACGTTTAAAAATATGATAGCCAAAACTATAAGATATTATTAGTTTGATCTTACAAATAGTACAAAGTATAACAAAATGATTAATAAAGTAATAAAAATATTTAAAAAACATACCGAAAATATTTTTCAAAAGTCTGTACATGCTAAATAAGTACAGTACATAAAAACAACTTTGCAGTCAAAATAGTCGAAAAAAATATGTTATGAGCTTCTCGATACATACATTTTTGTGTAAGGTAAACAGCGGCATTGTGATTTCAGGCGTTTAGTATTCAACGTAACCGCAATTCCCGCGACAGTTTTATTTGAATTCTACACTTGTCGAGTCCGCATAAATTAAACTATGGAAAGAACTAGTGTTCTCTTTTTATTGACATTTTATTCCAGCGTTTCATTATTATGTGCGAACCGCGTTGACACGTTGAACAAGCTCTTTAAGTATGGTTTTTGGAGTGCAAATCCAAAATGGGGTTTCACCTTACATGTCATCGAACGATGGATGGAAACTGAAGAGCGTTTCAAATTGACCGATTTGATGGGAACCAATGACAACGTACAGACAATAACCAATGAAAACGCAGATTACAAAATACGACAAGCCCAACAATTTATAAGCTGTCACTATGCTTTAGTGCTGAAAAAATGTTACGAACACGTAGCCGAGCTAGGAGTCCAGTGTCAAAAAACTGATTTGAAACGTTATGATTCAAAAACATGTTTGAAAAAACTGGTGTGGACACTCAAACAGAGTGATCAAATTGCGTTCCGTATGCAAGGCACCTTCTCGTTTTTGTACCAGCTATCCCCAAACAATGTTTTCAACAAAGACGTATCCGACATATTAGAAGAACTGTTGGCTTATTCCGAAACGGTCCATGTCGATTTACATGCTATCGAACAAGACATTTCCAAAATTCTACGCCGTCTTTGGGCGTTCTACATGAGTTTTTGTTACCCGTTTCCGCCTGAAATAACAGTGTACGGCTGGTCGGATGCCAGGCAAAGAGTTAAAAATATGTTTAACTCATCTAAAGATATGTACGACTCGATGTTAAATGTAATGAGTTTGGTGAAAGATATAAAAAACGGCTTTATAGAATCGTACGAAAACGACTACGGCTTTTGTTATGAACCTATATCAAAAACTAGTCGTCCAATTATGAACGACCCAGAATCTGTAGAGCTGATCAATCGTCTTCTGGAAAATCCGGGATGGCCCAAGATAGCTCCGCTTGAAATTAAAATTCCCCACGACCGTAGCAGATCAGTTTTCGAGTTGCTCGAGCGAAATACGCAAAGTAATACAGTTACCAATACTAATTTTGATTTTAAAATTCAAATGACTCATCTTTTTCTGTGCTGTAAGTATACTCGGGTGTTGAAGGAATTGTACGAGTACGTGATACTCCTATGGAATCATTGTAAGCAAATGACGGACAATAGCAAATTACAAAGTGGGATTGAAAGAAATTATGGTTCTGGCGTTTCTGTGCAAACCCATTTGGCACGATTCCGCACAAATATCGTGAAAAGCAATCCATTGTTGTCGCTCATGAGAGGTGCTCTATTATTCTTCTACGAGCTGACCCCAGAACTTAAGTACAACAAGGAAGTTTACAACATTATAGAAAGTTCGCGAACCGTTTTATTTCATGGAAATATCACTCTTGATGTCGAGAAATGTATGTCAGAATTATTGCAACGCCTGCGCGCGTTTTTCAATGAATTTTGTTGGCCAGAAGGTTTGTTTGACTCCGTTTTAGAAGGAGGTCCAGATCATGAAATGGATAACCTAGAACAGCGGTTCTTCACAAGCAAAATAAACTATTTTATAGAAACAGCCTACGCAGAGTTTGGGTTCATGTACTTGTAATATTTTTTTTTAGTTATTTTATAAATTTTCTGTTTTCAATTCCTTTAACCCCTTCGTGCATGTTGTGCCGTATATGGCACAAATTAGTTTTTTGTTATTTGTTGCTTTGGAAATGAATTTACGACATAACTGCATAGATGGCCAAATTTGGCACAAAAAACTGACCCATTTTGATGTAAAGTACCTTCATCTAGCGTTAAAATTGTGAATTATAGATGAACAATAAGCAACTGAAAATATTATCACCGCGTCGTGTAAAAACTAACTCTTTCATGCAATCATAACAAAAAATTGAAACTACCGAATTAAAAAAAAAAAAATTACTACCTTGTAGGGAATTTTGTGGAAAATATTTTAAAAGTAAAAACAGTTTGTTAAGTATAATAGTTTTTGAAATACAACAAAAACTTATTGTGTGCCCAATATGGGACAACATGCATAAAAAGCTATTATAATTTGTTACTTACATTATTAAGAAAAAAAGAATGATAATTATACAAATCATGTTTTTTAATTATCTTATAAAATATATATCAGAAATAAATGTCAGTAGTAAAAAAAAATGCCAAAAAATGAATACTAATTATGACAACATTTGTTTTGAGTGCATATTGTTCCAGATATGGCACAAACAAAAATTGTGTTTTTTAATGCATGATGGCCATAAGTGGCACAAACATACATTTGGTGCGCGTTGTGCCATATTAGGCACGAATTAAACTTTGAGGAGAATTAAGGGGAAGTTGTGCTCAAATAATTTTTTTAATATTTTTCCCATAATCCTGATATATTTTAGAATCAGTACAATTTTTTTGGGGAAAAAATAAAAAGTCATGCATGAAGGGGTTAATATAGAATCTTTATTCATTATATTTTTTTTTTTTTTGCTGGTTGGTTAATATATTATTATCCTACTTTTGCATCAACATGTAAAAAGTTAATAAAATATTTATGTTACCATTTAAGTTTCAAAAGTTGCTATCAAAAAAATTAAGATGGGAAGAGGTAAAAACAAAAAAAATTGTGAACACTTGAGATACACATTGTATAAAAACAATATGAAAAAAAATTACGGTACATAAAAACAACTTTGAAATTGAAATAGTCGAAAAAATATGTTATGAGATTCTCGAAACACACATTATTGTTTAAGGTAAACAGCGGCATTGTAATTTCAGGCGTTCAGTATTCAACGTAACCGCAATCCTCGCGGTAGTTCTATTTCAATTTTACACTTGTCGAGTCCGCAAAAATTAAACCATGGAAAAAAGTAGTGTTCTCTTATTATTGACATTTTATTCCAGCGTTTCATTATTATGTGCGAACCGTGTTGATATGTTGAATAAGCTCTTTAAGTATGGCTTTTGGAGTGCAAATCCAAAATGGGGTGTCACTTTACATGTCATTGAACGATGGGTG